TTTTGGGTGTTGTAATATGCTAGATTATTCAAACCTATATTTAAAAACAGACGTTTTACTTTTATCCGATGTATTTGAAAACTTTAGAAAGTTATGTATTAATACATATGATTTAGACCCTGTCCATTATTACACAGCACCCGGTTTAAGTTGGGATGCAATGTTAAAATATACAAAAATAGAATTAGAACTTTTAACAGATTATGAGAAAATTGCATTTATTAGATCAGGTATCAGAGGTGGTGTATCTCAATGTAGTAATCGTTATGCTAGAGCTAATAACAAATACATGGAGGATTATGATACAGGGAAACCAAATTCATATATCATATATTTTGATGCCAACAATTTATATGGTTGGGCTATGTCTCAATATCTTCCTACTGGTGGATTCGAATGGGTAAATCCAAATACAGAATTTAATGTGTCTAAGACATCAGACTTCGGTTTTATTTTAGAAGTTGATTTGGAATATCCAGATGAACTTCATGATTTACATTCGGACTTTCCTTTATGTCCAGAAAACATTTGTGTAGGCAATATTAATGAGAATAAACAAGTCCCAAATTTAAATAATAAAGATAAATATGTAATTTATTACAGAAATTTAAAGCAGTGCATAGAAATGGGGGTTAAATTAACTAAAATTCATAGAGTTTTAAAATTTAAACAGTCTCCCTGGTTGAAGATGTACATAGATCTAAACACAAAATTAAGAACTTTAGCAAAATCAGATTTCGAAAAAGATTTTTATAAATTAATGAATAATTCAGTCTTCGGTAAGACTATGGAGAATATTGAAAAAAGGGTTAACATAAAATTAGTTACGCATTGGGAGAACCAGGGTAAAGCTTTAGGTGCTCAAGATCTAATCGCTAAACCACAATTTCATAGCCTTTCAATATTTTCGGAAAACCTAGTTGCGGTTCAGTTGCGAAAAACGAAGTTAATATATAACAAACCAATTTATTTAGGGTTTTGCATTTTAGATATTTCAAAAACATTAATGTATGATTTTCATTATAACTATATGATTAAAAAGTTTAGTAAAATCAAATTATTGTATACAGATACGGATAGTTTAATATATCATATATTTACAAATGATTTTTACACTGATATAAAACCTGACCTTTCATCATACTTTGATACCTCAGATTATGATACAAATAATATTTTCGAATATCCAAAATTAAATAAAAAGAAATTAGGTTTTTTTAAAGATGAAAATAATGGTAAAATCATGAAAGAATTTGTGGGTTTACGATCCAAAATGTACGCTTTTAACTTAGAGAATAAGACTATAGCCAAGGCAAAAGGGGTAAATAAATGTATCACTAAAAAGATGACAATGAATAGTTATAAGTCTTCTCTATTTAATAAAAAAGTGCAATATTATAGTATGCTTAGATTTAAATCAATTAAACACACAATTTTCACACAAAAATTAAATAAGATAGGTTTATCATATAATGACACAAAGAGACATATTTTAGATAATAATATTGAAACATTAGCTTGGGGTCATTATAAACTGCGTTAAGTGTTGATAGTTTTTACTTTTATGTCTGCGTTTAAGAAAAATTTATATTGATTGTAAAATTATGATAATACTATAATATGACGTAGTTTATTACATATTTAAACATTGTTTTATTGTAAATAATTTAAGTTAATTGTTGTTTCTATTTATTTGAGGTTGAGTTAATTGTAAAATTATGATGTACTAATTGTTGTTTCTATTTATTTGAGGTTGAGTTAATTGTAAAATTATGATGTACTAATTGTTGTTTCTATTTATTTGAGGTTGAGTTAATTGTAAAATTATGATGTACTAATTGTGTTAGAAATAGTGTATACAGATAATTCTGTTTTATATAATTTTTGGAATATATATTAATTGTTTACACCAACACTTTCATTTTTTATTTCACCCCTTTGAACTTTAGACGTGTGTTATGTTTCACTTTATCCATCCGTTCACTGCTATTGTGGCAGGACCAAGTGGGTGTGGGAAGTCAAATTTTGTAACAAATTTCATAAAATCAGTTACAGAAATATGTAATTGTGATTTTAATCAGATCACATGGTGCTTTGATGAAATGCAACCATTATATAATTTACCAAATGTTAACTATCATCAAGGAATTCCAAATCTTAATATGTTTGATGGTGAATACCCACATCTTGTTATTATTGATGATCTAATGAGAGAGTCCGATGGAAGAATTGTGGATATATTTACAAAAGGTAGTCATCACAGGAATCTTAGTGTATTTTATCTAACACAAAATTTATTTCATCAGGGTAAAGGACAAAGAGACATATCTTTAAACTCAAGTTATATAATATATTTTAAAAACCCTCGAGATAAAACTCAAATAAGATATTTAGCAAGACAAGTATCACCAGATAACCAAAAATTCATTGAAAATGCCTACAGGGATGCAACTCTAGAGGCACATGGATATTTAATGGTAGATTTAAAACAGAATACCAATGATTTTTGTCGTATCAAGACAAATGTCTTTCCATTTAATGGTTTCTGTACAGTCTACGTCCCCACAAAAGAGTTTAAATACACCAAGAATCAAACAATTGAAATCATTGCTAAATGATGCATCGTCGACACTTTACGTATTTTAGTCTACAACTAAAATACGTAAAGGACTTGAGTGGGAAAAATGGACTCCGTATTAGAAGAAATTAACAGGATTTATTATGATCCATCTAATCCCGCTGGTTTTGGTAGTATTGATAAATTATCAAAAGCCATGAAGGGTAAAATGAATAAAAAGCAAGTAAAGGAATGGTTAAAATCACAAGAAACATACACATTACATAAACCCATTCGAAAAAAATTCCCGCGTAATAGGTACATTCTATCAAATATTAATGAACTGTGGCAAGCTGATTTAAGTGATATGCGAACTTATTCTCAATATAATGATGGTTTCAAGTATATACTTTGTATTATTGATGTATTTAGTAAATATGCTTTTGCAAGACCAATGAAAAAGAAAAACTCAGAAACAACTAAAGAATGTTTTGAAAGTATATTTACTGAAAGTAATTTAACACCTACTCACATACAATCCGATAAAGGTACAGAATTTGTTTCAAAAGATGTACAAAAATACCTTAAATCCAAAAAGATTAATTACTATACCACTAACAATCCTGACATTAAGGCCAGTATTGTTGAACGATTTCAAAGAACACTAAAAATGAAAATGTGGCGTTATTTCACTCATAATAATACTTATAGATATATAGATGTTTTACAAGATTTAATATACTCTTATAATCACAGCTTTCACTCTAGTATTAAGATGTGCCCATGTGATGTAAATTCCAACAATATTATGACTGTTTGGACTAATCTTTATGACAGACGGTCAAAAAAACTTTCTTTAGAAAATCCTAAACCAAATTTCAATGTGGGTGATTATGTTCGAATAACTAAATATAAACATGTATTCCAAAAAGGATATGAATCAAATTGGAGTGATGAAATATTTATTATATCTTCAATAATTGATAGATCTCCATGGGTTGTTTATACAATAACAGATTTACAAAATGAACCAATAATTGGTACTTTTTATGAAAGAGAATTACAGAAAATCACTTACAACCCCACCTCACAACATAAAATAGATAAAATAATTGACACTCGTTATTCAGGTAACAGAAAAGAAGTATTAGTGAAGTGGAAAGGTTATCCAGATAAATTTAACAGTTGGATTTTAGCTTCTAGTTTAAAAGAAATATGAATAAAGAAAGTTTCTATTTAACTTTGCTCAGCAATAGTTCAATGGAATACTTTCCTGATAACAAGACCACAAATTTTTCAACGAAATTACCAAAAGCTATAAAATTAGAAGGTGAATGGTCGGTTGGAGTTGTCGAGTTTCAATATCCATGTACCATGTTTACTGTTCAAGACCATGAAAATGTTATATACATTACAAAATCTATGTTAATGCCTAATGAAGATAAGCCATCCACAGTGTACTACAAAAAACATATTCCAGCTACCAACTATGATAACGTTGAGCATATTTTAAGAGTGTTAAATGGTATCGGAGAGAACTTGAAATTTCGCTATGATGAAATAACAAAATTTGTGTCTATTTCGGTATTGGATAAAAATATAACATCCGTAACATTATCACCCAAATTAAGTTTACAGCTAGGTTATGAACCAAATAAAAATCTCCTAGAGAGAAATTTTGGAAAGTGTCCTGCTAATTTACACTTAGGGTTACCATCTCAACTATTTCTATATTGCGATATTATCGATCCTCAGATTGTGGGTGATGTTATGACTCCTTTATTAAGAGTCATTTCATTAGATCCTACAAAATACATTTATGGTGCAAATAAAATGCACGTTTTCTCTCAACCTCACTACTTACCTGTTATGCGAAGAGAGTTCGATACGTTGGAAATAGTTATAAGATCGAGTACAGGACAAAAAATACCATTCCAGTTTGGAACCGTGTGTATTAAACTACATTTCCGAAAATTATAATAATGAATTCTCTTCGTGATCATCATAAATGTCCATATGAAAATTATTATACACATCAAGCTGGATCAGGAGTTGGAGTAATTTATAAGGGTTCACCATATCAACGCGGTCATGGTATTGGGAGCTTCTTAGGGGGGTTATTCAGATCAGTTTTACCTTTACTTTCAAGTGGTGCTCGAGTGATTGGTAAGGAGGCATTAAGCGCTGGAGTAGGACTTTTATCGGATATGGTTCAAGCCCGTCCTATGGAAGCCTCAATAAAAGATCGCCTAAAGCAAGTTAGTACGAATTTAAAACGAAAGGCTGATGAGAAAATTGATCAATTTAACATGACTGGATCTGGGTATAAAACTAAAAGAAAACGATTGACATCGTTCATTCCACCATTAACTGCTAAAGTGAAAGCTGCGAAAAAACTTAGTCTAAAACCAAAAAATATCAAAGATATATTTTCAAACTAAATATGTCTTTCCTTCATAATCATTCTTGCGAGTGCGTTAAGTCAGAATTGGATTTGTTTGCACTACCGTCTACACAAACTAGCATTGAAAATGGATTGTGGATTCATTATAAACCAATTTCATCTCTTGGTGATGATGGACCTATCGAGTTTCAAGTTCCTGGGACCGGCGATGACTACATAGATTTGTCTCATACATTACTCCACATAAAGGCAAAAGTATTAAATCAAGATTCAACTAACTTGGTATCTACTACAATAGTAGCACCTGTAAATAATTGGCTGCATTCACTTTTTAGTCAACTTGATGTTTATTTAAACCAAAAACTTGTATCACCACCTAATAATACCTATGCATATCGAGCATACATGGAAACCCTTTTAAACTATGCCCCTGCTGCTAAACAATCTCATCTTACTTGTAGTCTTTGGTATGAGGATACAGCAGGAAAAATGGATTCTACAGATGGTAAAAACATAGGATTTGTTAAAAGACAGGAATTGATTAGTGAAAGTAAGGAAATAGAAATGATTGGTCATCTTCACGGTGACATTTTTAACCAAGATAAATTTTTAATTAATGGTGTTGAAATGAGTGTTAAATTGGTTCGATCAAGAGAGAGTTTTAATTTAATTGTTGGGTCGAACGATGTAAAGTTTAAAGTTTGCATTACGGACGCAACTCTTATTGTGCGACGAGCACGAATTAATCCAAGTGTATTACTCGCACATCAAAAACTTTTAGCTTCTACCACTGCTAAATATCCTATTACTCGAGCTGAAGTAAAAGTTTTAACAATTCCTTCAGGTGTTCAAGGAAAAACTCTTGATAATATATTTTTAGGACAGGTACCGAAAAGATGTATAATTGGATTTGTGAACAATTCTGCATTTAATGGTTCCCTTACTAAAAATCCATTTAACTTTGAAAACTATGGTATTAATTCTTTCAGCTTATATATTGATGGTCAACAAATACCTTCAAAAGCTTTGCAACCATCTTTTAATAATAGCATATTTACATCAGCATATCATACTCTATTCTCGGGAACTGGTATTCACTTTCTTAATGAAGGAAATGGAATCTCTTGTGAACAGTATGGCAAAGGTTACTGTCTATTAGCATTTGACTTAACTCCTGATTTATCAGCTAACTCATCAACTCATTGGAATCTCATAAAGCATGGTAGTGTAAGAATAGAAGTACGATTTGAATCCTCATTAATACAAACAATTAACTGTATAGTTTATGCTGAGTTTGATAATATTATTGAGATAGATAAAAACAGAAATGTTACTGTAGACTATAGTAGTTAAGGTTATAATATGTGTTGTGTGTTAGATTTTATGTGTTATGTGTAATGCATTTTGTGTGTATGTAACTATGTGAAACGTTATAAAATTAAATAAAACAAATTGTATGCAATATATTTTTTTTATTTCTTTATAAATCTTCTATTTAATCTAATACAAAACACTGTTCGAGTTGAAATTTTACATAAGCACACTGACTAAACCACTGAACATGCTGCTGCCAAGGATCATCATCATCTTCCCAATCTTTTAAACCACCACCACAATGGAAACACTTGGTCCCGTCTGCATGGCCAGTATAAAAGAAACCAGCTTCGGCAAGATCTTCAGGTTTCTGTCGCATAACTAGAGGCCAGTTTTCGAAACTAAGCAAACGCCTAGATTTTGAACTGAAGAATGGATATTCAGCTCTTGAGTACTGCATACTCTTCTCGTTTTCTTCTCCACTCAGTGTTGTAGTTTTGTTATTCAATGATGTGTTTTGTACACGTATGCCACACTCATCTCTTCCTTCCGCTCTTGTCTTCCTGTAATTGAAGTAAACAGAATCACATTCACTAATGATCAGCTAATGACTGTCATTGTTAAAAAAGTATTTTTTAACTTTTTCACTTTCTGCTATTGTCTTTGTTATATTGTATACGAGGGCGTTTGTATTGTCGTAGATGCTATCCTTATTAGTCTTTACGTAATATTTAATTCTCGTGGAAGCATGTTTCCAATGATCAGTAGTTGGAATCTTGGATAGCTTCTTCATATCGTACATTTCAATTTTGATGAGATGCGTCGCTTGGTCTCCGTCGTCAGAATTAGTAGAAATGTATGATACACCATCTCTAGCGGCTCGTGCTACGGTTGATGATAACAGCTTCCTCTTTTTTATTTTTGATTCAGCTTCAAAAAAATGATCAATCGATTGCGATTTTCTTTTTCCACCATCGCATGTGTTATTATTAATGACGAGGTTATCACTCTCTTCTTGAGGGGAGAGTGGCGAGTAGTAATACTGTTTATAGGTATCTTCATCGAAGCTCAATGATTTCTGCAACAACACAGTTATCATGTTAATATCAATTTGTTAACACTTAATCATAAAAGTTAAAAAAGTTAAAGTTACAGCCTATTAAAGTCCACTGCTGAACATAGGCCTCCTCTCATTTCTGAGAGGGTTTTAGAGCAAGGAAATGTCCGCCGCGCTCCCTCAATGTGTGTTGGCGAACTTCACATGCCTTCGAAATTTTCTCAGACATGCAGGTTTCCTCACAATGTTTTCCTTCACCACCAAGCACGTGGTAATAAGCACTTAAAATTGCTATTAACAATTTAATTGGTGCTGGCGGGGATCGAACCCGGGTCGCGTATTGTGAAATTTACAGCTAGCGCTAACCATCTGAGTTACCACGGCTTAATCATATACATACACAATATTTAAATAAAATAATACACACACATGAAAATAACAGAAAAAAAGTAATTTAGTCAATAGAATAAACACTTACATCCATAGCCTTTGGTGTATTGAAGTAACACAAATGTACTATTGATAGATCCACTGTAGCCAAACGACCGTACACTAACTCGATGACTGCGTTTGTTGGTCTTATATACCACCGGTACGTAAAAATTCTAATCTAAAGTATTTCCGTAATGAGTTGATAATTACTTTATGCGTCAACCAGTTTATCTCACATTTCCGTTGCCTATCTCAACATTTCTTCGTATTGTGTTTTGTTTGGTGATCAATGACTCAAGTACGATTTGTATAACACAAAAATGCAATTTAATATTTAGAAACATATCAGTCTATCTCACATTTCCGTTGCCTATCTCAACATTTCTTCGTATTGTGTTTTGTTTGGTGATCAATGACTCAAGTACGATTTGTATATCACAAAAATGCAATTTAATATGTAGAAATCACTATAATTGACCATTCCTATGTTATTCATTGAGTAGCTAGGTACTGTAATAATCTACTAATAGCAGTAATATCATGGATACACTAGATGTACAACAACATCTGAAAAAGATTCACCCCAGTCTAGAAAATAATGTTTATGCAGCTAATAGACTGCCTATGTATACCCACGTACCAACGTATATAATATGTAATTTGGATACAGATGATAAACCAGGGTCACATTGGGTAGCTTTATATATCGATACGAATGACGTCGGTCAATATTTTGATTCATATGGACGATCACCTGTACGATATCATCTAGAGTTTTTAAAAAGGAATTGTAAAAGATGGAACTGGAATGTTGATAGGATTCAGAATGAGTGGACTTCAGTTTGTGGCGAATATTGCTTAATGTATTTACTATATAAGTTTCAAGGATGTTCAATACATAGTTTTACGAGTATATTTACAAGGAACACATTGTACAACGATATTTTAGTGGATGAGATGTTTCGCTCCTATTTTATAGATAATAATTAATAAGATTTTGTATTTTATAAATAAAAATTGTAACAAAATTATGTAATGTGTTTTATTGATGATTCAGATTAGCGTTGTATAAACAAAGAATTATAATACAATAGCACTGATATAGTCGACGCACACGCTGCAATGAAGGTGATTAAGGAACAATAGAATAATAGAAATAGGAACAATGGGACGCTAATGACGGTGGAGGCCCTTACCGGATATCAATTAGATATTAGCTAATTGATCTACACATCTCCGGAACCGTGCATTCTACACAAAAATGGACCGCGGATTCGTGATCAGAGCATGCCAAAACCTTTTTTTTTTTTTTTTAGGATCGGGCGTCGACGAACGTCGTTGAACCACGTCTGACTCAGGTGGTCTAGAAGTGGTACAACTATACTACTAGTGTAGGGCAACCTCCAGCTGGTAAGACATGCAGGAAGTCGATGGATGCAGGTGGCTCAGGATCATGCTTTGTGGCATTCCTTGGGGGAGGCCTATGGTCAGCAGTGGACTTGGAAGGGCTGAAATGATGATGATGAAAGGGTGAGAAGCACACATGCTATCTTATGTTAAGTGAGTACTCTGTCCCATAAACAGGAAGAGGTAATCCTATTGCAATAGATTATATTAAAACTAGTGTTTGTCTAAAATCTCACCCGATAGTATTTGTTGCTACTGTCGGTGCCAAAATCCCGTACTAAAAACTTTTTATCAAAAGTTTAAAAAAATACCTATATCAAAAGCTAAGTTTATAAAGAATGTCGTATTTAATTAAAAAATTAATCATTGAAATCGGTAAACATTCATAAAAAACCTACGCGTCGAATCTAAAACCTCTCGTTTTTGAACTCTGTAAAAATAGGTTATACTGCACGTAAAACGTTGTACCTCCCCGTCCTGACTTGATTAATACTTTAAAAAATTTATTATTTTCCAGGTCTCAAGGGTTGTGTTGAAGATAAAGTTTACAGTAAAATGTAAAATATTATGTATTTTTTCCACGCTTTTTCGGAGATTCGTCACTAATTTTCAGTTTTACAACCGCACCGGAGCGGTGGCATGCAGTGTTAAATTAAGTTATTCCGAGTTGATGGCTCTTTAGCGCAGGGACTTTAGGTTCGACTGCAAGTAGCCGGTTGTAGGTTCAATAACAGACCATTACGTACATATTATATTACTTAATGATAAACATCCAGATCCGATAGAAATAATTCTAGTATTATACGAACCTACGTAATACTTACGTCTCTACAATACAGTGGATATATATTTTTATATGGTAATGCAACGCTACTGGTAGCACGCATAAAAAATTTCGCGATTATGTATTACTTCAATTGTAATTCTAATTGTGAACATAAAGTTTGCAAAATTTTATTATGCATTGACAAATTGTCTCAATTTCAAATAGTAAAAATGTATCACTCTCTGCAACCTACACCTATCCGTTATTGTTACAGCCAAAGACATTTAAGTAGTTAGTATACCTATATATTTAAATCTCTTTGGTTACAGCCTATTAAAGCCTACTGTTAAAATAGGCCCCTGGTATAAATTGTCTCATAGAGGGGATATTTGCCATACTTGCCACGCTTGACAAGCGAGTGGGCAAATTAAGTTTTTGATTTTTAGTCGTTATTAGGAAGATGCTGCTGCCCATCTCCTGGTTTGTTTACATATCACAATAAATAAATACGTCAAAATTATATTCCTTTTCTTTTCCGGCTTCATCTACCCGTAGGAGTCCACAGCTGGACATGAACTTCAGGAGAAGTAGTTAGGGATAATTTGCCTTAATCATCTTGTTTGGCCGGCGAATGAGGGCATCCACGACTTTTTCTGCCACCAGGGTGGCGCCACTAGAAAGTGAGTTAAAATATTTGACAAATTTCATAGCGGGGAAGTTAATTTGTTCGGAAAATGAATAAACCAAACCACAGATATTCATAAAAGTAGAAAAATTAAAAAAAGTAAAAAAATGTGTAAAAAAGTTAATGAGCAAACCACTGATGCATAGTTTTGTGTAATTTAATACTCTAGAAACTGATAAAATTTTATTAAAAGCCCTAACTTCAAACTTCGGAATTAAATTACACTATGTAAAAATAACTTTACCTCAATGTCAGCTAGTGACACCTGGTGAGCAGAAAATTATTAGCCCTCATTGACAACCGTCTTGAATGCTGCTGCCCGTCCAATGAGTCTGAATATTTATGACGATCTTTCTAAAGGTTTTCCCATAACCATTTTCCCGTGAACTTGACTTCATACATTTTGCGTAAAACTAAACTTTATAAAAAGAGTAAAATGAACACCAGAATACCAGCAAACAGCAGAATAATGCTGTGTATCTTATGATGAGTGTAGTGTTTGCATATATATATATATATATATATATATATATATATATATATATATATATATATATATATATATATATATATATATATATAATACACAGTAAATACATACACAAATACACAAACATGCATATACATACAATTCACTGTCTCGAGCGCACCGCGTCGATTACACGAGAGCCTCGGGCGAGAGTGGACGTGTT